TCCTAACAGACCGGAAGGAAGAACTTTATTGGTTGATAGTTTATTGATAGTAGAAGGAGATTCATTGTGAATGTTTTTTCCTGTACTAGATCTGATATCATTATCTGAATGATCCTGTGGAGCTTGCATAAACCTTCTTTTCTTATTGACATTTTCTTGTACTTGCCATACTGGATGAAATTGTGAATTATCTTGCAAAATAGATAATTCTGCCTGATTTGGATCCTTTAAGTCAGGATCAGGATCATTTTTTACATTTGATAAATCATTCTGAAGTGTATCTTGTGATTTTACCAACCAAGGATTCAATGATACAGGAGTAAAACCTCTTTGTGCATTTATTGCTGGTTCTTGTTTAATATTTTTGACAACTGGCATAAGAGAACTTTGATCAGTAATGTTCTGCAAAATTTGTCGAGTTTCAAAATGATTTCCTGTAGTGCTTGCGACATTCGGTATAATCAAATTAGCTTTATCACTTGTATCCTTTCCCGGTTCATCTAGACGCAGAGTATTTGGCACGAAATTAGAAGATAACTCAATTTTCCTCCTACCACTGTCTAGCATCGGATCAGCCATAATATTAACGTTTCTTCTGCCACGAATCATTGAGATATCATCATTTCCTGCAAAAAATTTCATTTTTTCCGGCCATATAGATTCATCAGATTCCTTAAAGTCCTTAGTATCCACCTGGTATAATGGAATATTATTTATATGCCTAATTTTTTCCTTTCTGGGATCATAAAGCGGTTCATATTGTACGGGTTGTTTCTCTCTAATACGATACTTCTGTTGTAACAGATTAATCTTTTTTGAAGTTTTCATGCCATTTTGTTTTCCTTTATGTTTTCGGTGCGACTTTTTCCTTGCCGACGTTCTCCTCCCTTTACCAAATTTCTGTTTATGTAACTTCTTCGCATTTTTGTTCTTGCTCCTTAACTTTTTGTTTTTATCAGCAATCATTTTTGTAATTCCCTTAGCAGAAAAAGTTTTTTTGGAATCTTTATGAGAATGCAATTTGTTTGGCCTGCGTGGCATCTTTTTATTCTTATCATGTGTCGCTTGTATTCCCTTTACTAATCCTCTTCGTAAACGAGATGAAGGTTGTATCCGATCCTGAGAATGATCTTCCAAAAGACCAGGAGGTCTCAATAAATCCGTACCCAAATTCAGTCTGTCCAGGTTGATGTCATATCCAGGATCTTGATCCTTTTGCAAATCGAGGGAGCTGTCCCAGCGTGGCGAAGGATCCTCTCTCTTGATTCTAAACCTAGCATTAGGACGAAGAATGTTTTTTCGCAGCTCACCTCTGTTCCATTGCAGATCCACACGTCCTGGAACGTCACCTTGACCATTTTCTGCCAGGAGGTTCAGCTCATATCCTTTCGTAGATCCTTGAGGAGCAGAATCCTCAGTCGACAGTCTAGCTACGTACATTATTGTATAAAACACGCTGAAAGGAAAAATTCGCATGGCGTCATAGTTTGAAAATCTACAGCTTTGCAGAAACTTATTAAATGTTTAAATTATGGAAGTTTTTTTGTGAAGTATATAAAAGTAAAATAAAATATTTATTAATCGTGTCATTAGGAGAACAGATAACGAGCGCATTTTTAATAAATAATTTCAGATTATTGGATCTGTTACCAAATTCACGTATATACATAATTTTCTGCATTTTTGATTAACGAATGTTTTTCTTTGCTTTTCCAAAAATCTACAGCGTCAAGTTCAATGAAAAGCAATACCTGTAAATTACGTGATATCGCATTGGCTTGCACTGTGGATATCAGTCGTCATAGTACAAAGGAATTACGGTGATCAAGTGAAGTCTCTCCGGGTAAAAAAACTTTTTCGAAAAGCTTCGCTCGTTGCGGCAAACTGTCAGACCTGTTGCCGTGGATGATCTGACGGTTTTATCGCATTTTGCGACTATCATTAAAACTAAACTGTATATGAAAGCTCTTCGGTTACTCTTGTATAACGGAAATACGAATTCAGTGTTTCAGGTAAAAATCCGGATGGATCCTTTATCACCGTTTGCGCTGGTAACGCACTTAGTATGTCTACTGTTTATTGACACACACTCTGAACAATTGACTAACCAATGCATCACAGCATCCCATATGGTGGCCAACAGATAAAATAGAATACGATACTGATACGATACTGCAAAGATTTGTTTTATTCCAGTAAATATAATGAAAGTGACATTCTTTTAATATGAATAAATTGTAATATTATCTAATAGTTACGCATATTAAATTTCTAGTTATATATTATGCAAGATTCAGTTCCATATGCATTTTCATTATAAATAAGTTTAATTTTATCAACTTAGAAACCAATGTGTGATATTTTTTAACATTTCACAAGCTAGGAAGAACGTGGAGTTTTATAAATTTTCGGAATAGTTCAAGCGCACGTTGAAATTTAAAACATGTTTGGTTTTTTTTTATTTCTAAAGTGGCCGTATCACAATTTGAACTGCACCAGCCTTTATTATAGACCGTTCTGAGTTTCTGCATTAGGATATCTTTGAAAATTTTAAGGAAAAAGCTGAATTCCCAGCATTTTCCGAAAAATGGGAGGACAATAGGGTTTTTGTATTTCCGAAGAATATTTTAAAAACTTGAGGTTGTTAAATGAGGTAGACAAGGAAGATTTAAATGAACCAAAAAAGAAAAAGATTATTAAAAAGGTCGGGGGAAGAAGAAAGATGGTATGGGCTGAGGGAACATGGGGAGACGAAGGTACGTAAAATGGACGCACTGGGACCAGATTAGTCTGGAGAAGCAAGAAAACAGAAGATCAGAGAAAAGGGAAAAAGCAGGAATGATAAGGGAGCGGAAACAGAGCAGATGTTAAAAGGATATCGAAGCCTAAGGGTGCTATCCCATGCATAGAAGACAGAATAGGAACAACGGAAGCGGAAAAATAGTTTGGTGGGGCTGACCAATCATCTTCGTTTCGAAGATGTCAAACTATGTTTTCAGAAAACGAACAGAAATTTTAATCTTAAACTTTTGATAAATTTTACGAATTCCAAATCTTCGCATTTCAATCTATGCAATCTTACACATAATTAATATTTAATGATTTTTCTAACAATATATGTGTCATTATTATTGATTTTAATGAACGAGAATTGATTTTAGCACTTTCCGAATTTTCGTTTTTTCTTCTACATGGGGAATCCAGGCATCGTTTGACATTTTCGGAACGAAGATGATTGGTCAACCCCCACCAAACTATTTTTCCGATTCCGTTGTTCCTCTTCTGTTTTCTATACATGGGACAGCACCATCGACGTATAGGTGTGGGACCACACGAAAGGTAAATCTCGTAAAATATACGGAGTAGATAAAAATTGAATTGAAATTGTAGAATATCGAAAATAAATTACGTTCAAATTGAAATATTAATAAATTTGGTGTTTGGAACATTAAAATAATTAATTAAATCAATAAAATAAAATATTAACACTTAGAAATCGGAAATTCTGGTCAAGCATGTTTAGAAATATTGCAAGTTGCCCAAAATTGTGTGCGCGCAAATTCGTCGCGCAGGACTCGGCGAGTACGAGAGAGTACGAGTACGAGTGCCCGAACTCGGAGCGCTCATTCTTCCTCGAGCCGGTCTTCTCGTTTCACTCTGTTCCCTCTCACTTTCCATTGTGCTTGTCTTACTTTTCCTATTTCCTTGGTTGGGTCGTGCATATTCATTCGAGTAGTAATATAAGAGTAATCACTCTGTTAGAGTAGCTAGACATACATATAGACCATGGTGTCGGGTGTTGCCCTTCCCCCTCATCTGCTGAGCTTGCTCAGTGGGTCGGGCCCAAGTTGTGGCCGCAACAGGATCTTATGGGTCTTATATGGACAGAAAAGAAGATAGAAATAAAGAAGTAAAGAAGTAGAAAAGTAAGGAATAGAGTTATAAAAGTAAAGAAGAAATAAGGAAAGAGATAAGTAGGAAAGTAAAGAATTACAGATAAAGAAAGAAGGAAGTAAAGATGAAATACATATAAAAATAGAAGAAGGTTGGAAATGGATATGAGGGGTGCTTCCAAGAGATCAGTATGAGAAACCGGCTCGAGGAAGAATGAGCGCTCCGAGTTCGGGCACTCGTACTCGTACTCTCTCGTACTCGCCGAGTCCTGCGCGATGAATTTGCGCGCGCACAATTTTGGGCAACTTGCAATATTTCTAAACATGCTTGACCAGAATTTCCGATTTCTAAGTGTTAATATTTTACTTTATTGATTTAATTAATTATTTTAATGTTCCAAACACCAAATTTATTAATATTTCAATTTGAACGTAATTTATTTTCGATATTCTACAATTTCAATTCAATTTTTATCTACTCCGTATATTTTGCGAGATTTTAATTTAGCCTCAATTTCATTTTTTGAATAAATTTTGAAAGTAAATCAAGATCCAATAATATTTAGTAAAGATTGAAGCACTACACGGGTGACAAGTGTGCACTGCACTTTCTTAAAAATATTTTAAAAATGTTTCAACAATAGGCTTTCTCAATAGTTCTTGAGAAGTTCTATAGTTCCCGGTCTCGGTCTAAGAGTTGCTTTTGGAACCACCGGTAAGTATCGGAGAACCTCTGCCCGGCTAAGCTACGCAGTCGTATTCACGTTTAGGTCGGCTACGACGGAATTCGCATTGTCGACGGAGGCAATGATCACGAAATCCTACTTCCAGACTCGCTGCTACGATTTAGCGCCATGATTTTGATATCGCCTAAAACCGTAGCGTTGTGCATCTCCCTACTCATCTCTGCCTGAAACGTTAGCTTTGTGCATCTCCCTATTCATCTCTGGTTCCTATAGCAATAATAATTCTAATACAGATTAGCTTTTATTGTTATATATTAAACTAATTCGACGATTTTATGGTACATAGTTATCTATCGTCGATTATGATAAGAAAGGAAACAGTTGCTTGCAGAAAAGCACATGGTTGCGCTGCAAGTCCAACAGGATCTCTCGCATCGTTTCAATCAACCCCTGAAGATGATTCGTTAATGGTGACTAGAAGACGGGAGGTCTCATCGACGCGTCGTGGCAAAAAATGGCTTAACAACGGTCCAAAAGTGGCGATTTGAATTTCCGTTAGCAGCAATAGACGCGCCACTTCTTGCTGTATTTGTAACAACCACAATGGCTAAGTAGCTTTGCACACTTTCGTGATTGTGCGGCTGCCTTCGTGCTTGACGTGTCGTGTGCCTCCCGTCTTCTACTGTGTTCCTGGCGGTTATCTGCAATACAGAAACCGATTTTCGAATTCTTTTCCACGGTTTTACCAACCAACGATATGGCCATTCTACCTCCTGATCCAATCTATCTTCTTCGAGGAGACATGGGTCCTGTTCATAGTCTCTTATTCAGGGTCTCCCCTTACATCGAACACCTTTACGCAGCTGCAGAGAGTGGCAAGATTCACATTTGGGATCTAAGAGTGTGTATACTCTTTTTTGTTTAAGGATAAGTCCAAGAATAGTTAGCTGCATTAAGATTTGTTTGCTTCTAATTAACTAATTGTATATTTGTTACAGAGAAATAAAGTGTTCAGCAAGTTTATTGTTGGTAAGAATCCATGCTTAAATCTACATATTATCGGTGATGAACGACTTATAACTCAAGAAAAAGGTGGTACAGTTAATCTATGGAATCCTAGCAAAGCCATATGGGTTCAGGAAAAGAGTATTGATACTGGATATTGTGGATTTTGCAGGTAAAAATCTTTAACACTTTATATTTAATGTCTCTGATAATGTTTTTACCTTGTTTCCAGATCTCAGATGCTCTCGGAGGATATTCTCTTAGTGCCATTAAAGGAATCCAGTATCGGTGCATTTTCTTTGAAAACCTGCAGTATCGAATACAAACTTGAACCTTCGCAGTTAACTGAGGGTGCTACAAATCTAGGAGAAGTAATGACACTGAAGCCAATTGTACTACAGGACAAGGAGTTGGTTCTGATTTCTTATGAAAGTGGTGATATTGCACTGTGGGATATCAGTGCTAAGAAAGTTATTAACTGGCTAAAAGTCGAAAGTTGTCCAATGGCCGTCGAGTTTGATATGTCTCATATGCGCGGCATTGTTGGAAGTCCAACAGAAAAGCTTCAGGTATGTTTAAAATTCGAGTATAATTGAATAATGTGAATAAGAAAATATATTTCCGTTGTTTTTTTTTCACTAGGTTTTCGATCTATCCAAAACTCACGTACTTTCCCTCAAGACTACATTGACCCTAAAAAATCCAGGAACTTCCGTTATAACAACGCGACCGGATGCTAAAGTATTCACGGCTGGTGGTTGGGACGGCAGACTCAGGATTTTCTCTTGGAAAACTTTGCGACCTTTGGTAGTCTTGGACCAACACAGGGCTACGATTTTGGATGTTGTATATTCAAACTCCAAAGTTGAAGCCTATGACAGCAAGTGCGTCATGGCGGCTGCTGGAAAAGATGGAACTGTCTCCCTCTGGAATCTGTACAATTGAATTGGTACAGAACGAGCAGTTGATTTTCTGAATTCGGTTGGAGGATAAAACTACTGAGCGTTTTGATTGCCATAGCCAAAGAGCGGATAATGTAGCTGAAAGACGAAGAAAAGAAACAATCTTTAAAGGAATCCGGAAATTAACCTAACGCTTAAGCGCGTCTGGAGCTACGGCGTAGAGCGGCCAACTTTAATTATGTTTCCCTATGGCCATCATTTTCATATACTTTGTTATCCCAAGCAACGTGATCGTCCATGATTAACGGTGATCGCTTCATGCGTGGCCGTCCTTTTAGGGAAGATAAGGAGAGGGAAATCCGTAAGAAATTCGTGTTTAGGTTAGCTCGAAATTCGTAATGTAATATTGTTATGTGATTAGAGAAGGGTGACAGGTGTCATTCAAATTCCATTAAGTGACACCAACATGGCGAAATGAGCGCTTCGAATCCACAGGTCGTATTTTGAAGTGTCCTCTACAACCATGGGTAGAGTTTTATTTTTCTATTTATATTTGTAAGTGTTATATTCCATGAAAAGCTTGCTAATCAATCGTTTCTTTTGTTTTACGGTCCATGGTGTCGATGCGTGGTGTCATCGCAGTGCTGCGCGGCACGTAGCTTCTCCTTTTCTTGAATTTTCTTAAAGAACTGTCCATGTACTTAGTCGCGCGTACCAGGACATCATTATTAAACCATCAGGTACCTGATGGAAATATTCAGGAAGTGGATAATTATTAGTAATCAGGATAAGAGTAATGGCGCGCTCTGTTCTTGTGCAAAAGAAGGCAAAGAAAAATAATGAAGAAGTGGATAATAAGTTTTCTTAGTGGAAGGATCTCGAGGTGTCGTATTGTATTTCTCTTATTTTCCGTACGCAGGTGGAATGTAAAGGAAGAGAGAAAGTGAGAGAGAGAAGCAAAAAAGAAAAGATAAAAACTATATGTGATGTCTTCTCGGACAGACCTGATTAGAAATTTAGTTTATCGACATGAGATTAATATATATTTTTAATAACAGAGTTGAAAACCAAAATGAATTACTTGTTAACTACTAGCCTGTTATACGCGATTTCTATCTCTGTATATTTTTGCTAAATATCAAAAATAAATACAGCGACAAACACACCCGTCAGTGTTTCCTTATCACGTATGTACACCGCATGGCGTTTTAATTCATACTGAATATTCTAGATTCTGCGCCCTTGTCATGTTAGGATCCCAAAGTTATGTACCTAATAGGTCAAGAGATGTCCAATAACCAACCTAGCAGCTCCCACTACAATTTTCTATCTACTTGCCACGCCTCCTTGCATTGGCGCAGCAAAAGAGCCCGATTACAATAATGTTACACCGTTATCAATTCACATATTGGAAATCGCAGATCAGCCGAAACATACGTGGCTCTCCCTATGCATTAATTAATCCAGTGATCAATGCGTATAGCTTCCAAGTCGAATCATTCTACAGGAAGTAATCTACCAATAGAAAATAAAGGCAACAAAATAAGACTTATCATTTTTCCAAGAAACCACCTACCATATAGGTACCAGGTAGGGTAAACGTATGTGGGGAACTGTCATACTTCTTAGAAACACACTAAGGGCTCCCTACTAAAAATATTTTTTGTATTCACCAAATTCCTTAATCAAGATTTATTTTTATATCAGGAAACCCCTTGAATTCCTAGAACTTTTTCATTTTCAATGTTATTACTTATTTCTATTAGTTCTTTGAGGTTTCAGATCGTTTCTTTTTTTCTTATTACTATAATCTAGAAATTAAGCGACCCACGATGGCCTCAACAATACTTGCTACGAGGGTGAATTTTATTCTTATTTCTTTTTTTTCCACACGTCAGTAACCTAATGTACATTTTTCGTAGAATCAGTTACCGTCATGATACGGAGTCATCGTTCCTAGAAATTTCAAAGGGCTCACCTGCCCTTGGTTATTTACCTCCCCAACAAACGTGCAGTGTAGTGACGAATTAAATTAGAGATTTAAAACCAGTATCGAATTATTCAAGAATTACAAATAGATATTGCGTGGTGTGCGATAGTGACTTTGGTAAAAATTTGCAAAATTTTTTCCACTGCCGGATATCGAGTTGACATTTTATTATTCAACGTGCATTTAATGCAAGATAAAGTGCAGTCTTCCATTCCTGTGACATTTATTCCCATCGTTTGACGAATTATTATTACTATATGAAAATTATACGTGTTAACGAAATTACACACAGTGCAATCATAGAGGTACGTCGCTCGGTATTGATAGTGATAACTATACTGACAAGTGTGTATATGAAAAAGAATTTTTCTTTAGCCGCATCTTTGTTGCACCATTAAAAATTATAACAAATAAAAATAATGCCTGTAGTACGTATAACTTTTTTGGTTTCCCATACGTGACAGCGCAATTATCAACGGTACCGATGCGAGCAATAACAATAATACATTCAGTATATTATAACTTGTAGATATTAATGCGTATAATTAATCATTGTAACATGTTGCATACTGCGTAGCAGATTCGTCCTTTTAAAAACTACTCTCGTATAAACGTAAACGGTGAATAAGAATCTAGAAAAATTGTTTGCCATTTTTTGTAAGACTTGTTATTAACTACGACACTGCGGAGATCTTGGTGAGATTTAAAGAAGGAAAAGGAAAGAAGACAAAAAATGAGAGAAAGAATAATACTGAAGGTAGTGAAGAGTGAGAGGAAGAAAAAATATAATAAAAAGAATTGAAAAAAGAGGCCCGTGAATCGTGCCCAGATATAAAAGACAAAAATTACATAGCACCATAACTATAAAGACACCTATTAAGGCGGTTTTCACACCGGTACAAATTTACTACCCCTTTTCAATTCCATTTCTTTATCCTCGCCACCCTCCTGGATCCTTCTTCTCTTCCTGAATGGTCGTGAGTTCCTCCCTTGATGAACATCCTGTTCAGGTTTAATAATTCCCTGATGATGAGTACTCGTGGACGAGGAAGGTAGACTATTCACTGTCGCAGGATGATCCTGAAGGTTCCTGGAGGCTGGACTCGAATTAGCCTTTTGAGACAAATCCTCAGGAACAGGACTCTCGGACCTCATAGTCGCCTTGCGCGTAGCTTCTCCATTCTCGTTAGGAATCTTTCCAAAAAGTGGAATCGGAATAGGGATAGGTATGGGTATAGGTATAGGAATAGGATAAGGTACCAGAACGGTGACCGGCGGTAGCAACGAAGGCTGTGGTGGGTTTAAAGGTGGCTGAAGTGGTGCAGGTGATCTGAGGATTAAAGGCGGCCTTCCTGGAAACATACCAGGATGCGTTGGATACCTGAATCCAGGATGAGTTTGATGAGGTAAGAATCCACGTGGCGAACTTGGCATACGTTGTGGTAAGCCACCCGGTGCTTCCCAGGGTGGCGAACGTTGCACCCTGCGTGGCCTGGCGTGTCTCAGAGTCCTGCGACTCCTGGGTGGCTCTCGCATTAATAGTTCCTTAACATCCTTAATATGAATACCACCCTCGCGTCCTGAATTCTCAGGAGGATCCCTGCAGGACTCGTGTGAGCTCGCAGAGTCCTGCCCAAGTATATCAGCCATGCTGTAATCCTTAGGCCTTGGGATGGTCTGGTGCATGGATCCCGATACATCCGGTTGTTCAGCAGCGTCCTTGGAGTTCCTCTCAGGTTCCTTATCCTTGACGGAATCCTTGACCGATTTGTTTAGTTCCTTCAGATCCTTCAGGGACTCTCTCATGGCTTCCTGTATCTCGCCATCAAGAGTATCGTCCTGCTCCTTGTTCCTGGCCAAGGTCCTGGAACGAGTTCTGGCGTAGATCGAACTCCTAGAACTGGACAACCTTCCACCGGGACAAGCATCAGGCTCGTCCTTAGTGCTCGAGTCCTCGCGTTCGAACCTCTCGTCGTCCTCGGGCAACGAAGACGGCCGGGTAAACGGCTCGTCGTCGACAACGAGCATCTCCTCCGACGGGCTCGGAGGCGGTGAACGACAGTCTCGCAGCCATAAATCCGGTGTTATTAATCCGGCGGAGCCTCCGTTTGTCGAGGGTATACCCGCCAACCCGTGCAACTCCAGGTGGGCCTGTGTCTCCCGACAGAAAATGTTCATCTTGTATTGATTCAGGCATTTGTCACTGCAAAACTGTAACTGACTCTCGCCGTCCTAAAATAACCACACAATATTTTCATACGGGTATCTCACTTTGCCCCAACAACAAAACATTACATTCCGTCGTTGTTGTTGTTCTGAGCAGGCATACAAAAAAATTAATACATGCCTGAAAATCGACGTAGCTAACCGAGTGTCGCACGTGTCTGCACCAGTCGCAGGTCCGAGCCCTTTTAAATGCCGCACGCCGACCAGCGGCGAAACACGCTTCGCTGCAGAACTGACTGGAAGTATTAGCGCCACCGGAAATCCCACCAGGTTCCCAAGTTCCGCCAGTTCGTCCGCACCAGGAGCACATGGACGGTCCATCTGATGAAAAAAAAGATAACAAATAAATAAAACCTACATACGTAGGTATATCACATCCAGAGTATCAACGAACAGTTGCTGGGCTAACTTCAAAACTTGATAAATAAATTAATAAAATAATTGACAAGATTAAAATTAAAATATAATTCACAAATTTCGTAAGCCGACTGAGTCTCAATTTTTTTCGATCCCATAAAAAGATGTATTTTTAACATTCCTCAGGTATATCAGTAATCGACGTTTCGAATACTTTGTAAATTCTCGACTGGATCTGCCATCCACTCAACAGTGCAAACTAGCAGCTGCAATTTAAATGACGAAAATTAAATGCTGTCATTTTTTAAAAATTTTTTTCCTATCTCTCACAAGAATCACGTACTTCCTTGTACCATTCCTAAGCACGAGTTACCATTTTTAGGTTACACCCAACCTGAAGTAAGGCTGCGTTTAATAAGACGAATGGGGACCTCCATTGCTCTGAAAGTCAGTATAGTGCTACATAATGGTACATTAACCTAATTGTCTAAAGTCGAGAGCCTCTGATTGGCCGAACTGCGTGCCGGGACGAGTTCCTGGAACCCTATCAGGACTCGATCGGCTTCCTGATACCGTTAATAAGTCCGCACCCCTGCGAGCTCTATAGGTTAAATCGAACAAAAGCATCATCGCGCTCGTACCTGATAACAGCCAATACGAATTGGTCTAGTTTAAAAGCCGAACCAATAGAATCGCGTCATTTACGCATAGTCACTCCAACACCCCCACCCAAGTCAACCCTTTCACGAGTACCCAGAATAAAAAAAAATATACACAACCCCATCCAAGAAGGCTTTTTACTTATTTGACAGCCACATTAAAGAGGGCTCTGAATAGGTCGATTTCCCGTAAAACAGTATAAGGACTCCTTTTATCAAGAAAAGAAAAAAAACCTTTAACATTTCGTCCCAAACTCCATTCATATAAAACGGGTATTCCCCTCGATTGTTCCCACGATATCAACGGGTACTAATTCAAATGTCCAATTATCCGGTCAAAATTTGTACCTCGACAAATTCATCGATCGGAACAACCATACGATGGACGGGTGCTCCATTTCAGGGATGCCAATCGGTAACACTGACCAGTGGAAGCTGAGCAAGGAGGTGACACGGTACACCAGCGGTCGATGGTGGACCTAATACTAGTATCGTATGCACATATTACATATCTCGTATCACGTACGAGTCGGGTGAGTCTTGCCGAGCCACATGGGCGCTCTACCTGCACCCTGCCAATAAAGCAAAGTCCGATAGTCAAAGGGAAGATAGTACAGAGACAGGAGAAGAGTCTATTACAGAGAGACCAACATGTATAACATATATGTATATCTTGCGAATCCACACACTAACCTAACCTACGTACCCGTTTACGCATGGTTAGTAAGGTTCGCGAGTACCCAGTGTTAGGTGTCCCGGATCATGTTCTGGACTGGTCGCTCGTATGACACCACTATTGCGTCTCGGAGTGCCGAGTTCTCGTTCGAGCGAGACATCGAACCATTTGGCTGGATTCGATACGGCTTTGCTACAGGTACGAGATCCACTGTATACGCGGGTTGGCGGATGTGTGTAGAATAGGAATAAAGATATGAGGGAGTGAGAGCGATGGAAGAGGAACCAGTGATAAGCGATGCGGCACGACTTCCTGAGACACGACGAGGATGGAGGAACAAGTAGAAATATGTAGGAGCAGTAGTGTAAGAGATGAAAAAAATAATGGGTTTTGGAAAATTATTCGTTAGGAATTTTTGAAAAATTGTATGTCGAGTCCGCTGATGGATCATTTGGGCATCTATTCTGGTATTATTATTCTTATTATGACTTGACGTATTCACAAATGCTTAGTGCTGGATATAAGAAGCCTAAGTACGGTCGGATAGTTTAGGGTAATTTATGAAAAAAAAAATTCATTTGAAATCGTATGTATAGCACAGTAAATTCGTCGAAGTTAAACTGATCGGGATTTGAAGGATCGATACGTCTGTCCTTGTTATCTCTCACGCTCACAGCAGGTATAGAAAAGTCAAAAGATTCAAAAAGTCTCTTCTTTGACAGTAGTTTCAATAACGTCCGCTGACGAATGTCGTGAACAGACACGACAGATGAAAGAATCAGCTGATTCTCAGAACTGTCAAGATACTGTCAAACAATTCGAAGTCGACTCATACGACGGAGAAAAACTTTATCACTTTTTGTAAAAAAAAATCCATATCGGGTTTTAACGAATTTTCGATCGCGGCACTATTGTCGCTCTACTCTAGTTACGATTGGCTGTCGGTATCGTCAATCGACCGTCAATTTTTAAATCAGGCAACTGCTCCAGAGAAACGATTGATTCGAAATTTGTTTAATTTTCAATAAACATTGCAGTAAATTGATTGCTCGCGCCATAAATTATAATTTTCCAAAATATCTACGCAGTGCGCGATAACTGCATCAGTACAGAGCGCCTCCGAGTTTCGCCGCGTGGTGCGCGCGTGTTGCTCTAGTCAAATATAAATTTCCGACTCGCGCGTATCTCTACGTACAACATGGACGCGCGATCTTGACCAGGTTAGTCGCGCCGCGTAGCACGGGATATCGTGTGCCCCTTGAACCCAATATACAAGAGCGAAGCGCCTTGGTCCTCCTCGAGGAAGCGGAAGGTCCCGGAGTCCAGTTCCATGAAGTTTGCCAGGAGGCAGTCGGATGGTGAAAGAGGTTGGATCGGAAATAGGAGGGGTAAGCGAGGATAGAACGACAGCGTCTCCGATGTCGCGCCAGTAAATAATTACAGCTGCGTCCTCGTTTGCAGCCACGGCTGTATCTCTGCGCGTCGTTGCATCGCTGCATCACCTTTTGCTCATCCGAACCATACCGTCACGGGAGCTTCTAGGGTTTCAAGCACTGCTCGCTCGTCGGTACGGAACGGAACAGAATTAGAGAGCTTCGGCTTCTCTTCCTTGTCCTCTTGAAATCCTTCTGCTCCGTGTTTCGTGTCCCACGCGGTACAGTGTGACACGTGCACGTGCAAAGGGGATGCACTGTTCAGCGTAGCGCCAAGGCCCACCGCGAACCGATGCGCCACGATAGACTTTCAAAGACGAGCAAAATATACACGAAGCTTCGGTACGTCCACGTTTCGCGTGCATCGAGAATCTCTAGGTTCGGCAAAGTCGACCGAGCCTGAACGCAGAGATGCATTTGTAAAATGATTTTCTAATGCGAATCGAAATTGTTTACGAGAATTACGTACTTGCGCTTGTCAACGAATCACTGTATATACGTTGTAGAATTAAACACTGAAAAAAATTCCTATGATTCTTTTTTTTCGAATGACCAATCTGTACACTCGATTCGACGTAACTTCTGTACCAGATACGTGAAAGCGCGTGAAATGCACGACTGGATATTGTTATTATCTGTTTGCGTGGTGAAAAAGGTTGACAGGGAGGGGTCACGGGGAAGACGAGGATAAGGACAGAAAGAGGGCAAAGGGAAACTGTGATCGGGTTACGTCGGCGCTATTTCTGTGGCGCAGTGTAAACGCGGCTTGAAGGCGGGGCTACTAAAATACTCTTTCGCGGTAGAGACGAGCCTTGGGGTCGCGTGGCATTTTTCCTTTTTCCTTTTCTTTAATCGCCTTATCTCTTCCTCTAGCGGGAGAAGCGTCTCAAGAATTGGACAGCACTTTTGTGACGTCAGCGACGTGCACGATCAAACTTCATCAAGGTCGCGTCCGACGGTCCGAGTGTCCTTGGTCTTCGAACGAGTGAAGGGAGAAAAGAAAGAGGACGATGCCAAGTACGTCTAACTGTTATAATTGAACGCTTTCCAGGTTTTCGCGGAATCTCTAGGAAGCAAGGTCCAACTCAGGAACTGGAACCAGACACCCAGGTACCAGAGCTTTAGCAGTGACGAGACCACCGCCCCCACCAGTATCGCCGCATCATCTTCAATCACCGACGTAAACCACCTTCAACCGTCTTAGGCCCCAACCTACCCGGTACCAAAGCAACCTCATGAAGTCGTGATTATCGGCTACCCGATAACTTCGATAACACCCGAGTGATAAACTTCGTTACCTGCCCGTGGTCCCACTCGCCTTAGAGAGTTCACAGCAACCCAGTATTAAGGTCTGATAAGAAATTTCTGTATTGATTGCTGATAACGTACCAGGAGTATCCGGTGCCGTGTCGCTGCTCTCGGGTGCCCTGGGACTCGCTGGTCCGGTCCTCAGCGAAAGCGGCGAGGTAGTCGGGGGTCTGCTGTTGGTATCCCTGGAAGATACCACGGACGAGACATTGATGGGTGGTGATCTAGATGACGATGCTGCGCCAGGAGGTGACCTCGACGAGAGCGGACGATTGGCCAGGGTGCGCGCCAGTACCTGAGGTAGGTGATGGGACCTTGAGGTCGCCGGTGGCGCGAAGTGGTCGAGATTCAAGCCTCTGGTGCAGCCGCTGTCGACCTTCTCATACCCGTACCAACCCAAGAGTTCACTCATGGCCGTTGCTGCGTATTCCTGTGATCAAAACATTCTTATCACCCTATATATATAATTAAATTATTCAACGCTTACAAAGTACGTGGGGCTGCCAGTCTTTTTACTTTATCAAAACCAACAGACCTTACTATGGTAACGTGTTCATGTTATCCTGCGCGAAGGTCAAGATAGGCTGTGGATCCAGAGGTTAAGGGTGCCACTTAGCGAAACACCCTACCCATAACCTTTTTCATACGTCCATTCGAGCTCTCTACCATGCGCCACCCGTGATTAGCCTAAATTACCGAGCTCGCGCAACCCGACCAAATGAAATACTGCCGCAAAGAGGAGAAAACTTTGGGTCTGGTTGGTTGGTTGCCTGACTGGCTCACTGTGGCAGGACGCGAGCGGCTTCTTGCCTTTGGCTATGGGATACGATACCAGACGCGGTACAAATACGCGAGCACTAGCGAGACTTCGAAATTACTGTGCTGCCACTACAAGAGAATCCTTCTTGGAAAGTTCTCCAGTTATGTGTACCGGGGCAAGAGAGAATTTTAAAGCGTATATAAAAAAAGAAAAACTACGCCCGATCAAAGTGTACACGTGTAAAAATACACATATCCTCAAGAATTCACGGACAGTGCTGACGTCAGATTTTTATGTAAAAACAAATAACTATCAATCGGGTCAATCGATGCTACCAATTTTTGTCTCTACTTATCATCAGATCCAAATGGCAATGGTGTACCAAATTGTATCCAGGTACTGTCTTATTTATATATTACGTACGGCTACGTACGTATGTTCACCATGTCACGCGTATATGGTTATTGTACGTATGTCCCGTACCTAGGCTCGCGCATATGTACACACCTATGTATCTGATGGCTTACGTACATATAACATAGGTATCGGGGATATCGCGTGGCGAGCGGATCAATCCATTAGTCGGTCGGACTCGGTTACACTGTGCACCACGAGCATCCATACCCCCTCGACCATCTTATAGCCATATAATAATAAAAACAGCAAGGTGGACAACATCATCAACAGTTTTCGCTGGTTTTCTCTTTTTTTTTTTTTAATAAATCGAATAAAATTGACAATAAAAAAATGTAATTTTTTCTACAGATACTTTAGTGATTAGCGATCCGAAGATGTTACTGTTGCATTTTAATGGTACTTAAAATTTATGATATAGCATAACATGGACATACGCGATATACTGCACTTCGTGTGTGACGTGTATAAATTTTAAGTATACTTTAATATAGATTACGTCACGATCATTGATTGACCGAACGTCAAAAATTTCGTTTCGAATTCGATTCGAATTTCCCGCCCGACTCCACAGGGTATCGGGTAACGCGTTAAAGTCCAATACTCGTTCGCCGTATCCGCAGTGTCAGTGCATACGTATTTATTTAACAGGTACACGAGATTATAGAGCCATTGAAATCCCGAGATTCATATCCGATAACTGATCATCACCGGTGCTGTGCGTGATAATAAAAAATATTTATAATGACCAGTGAAACGCATTACAGCTGCCACATTGAACAGTTACGAATCCGCGTAGTACGCGGGACGCGTCACTGTCAGCGGTATAACAGTAGCTACCGTAGTGTTGATCGGAGCCTATTGTTACCGGCAGGAGATGGCGCCACCGTAGGAACTAATAGAAATCAAATGAACGCGCCAACCTCAGCTGACCACAATAGCTGTCAATAACACCGTACAAAACCTACCCTACGCATGACAATGAACGTTAATAAATAGTTATTGAGGGAATATCGTTAAAACGAAAAATTAATTAACCGCAAGACGTCCGCCTGTAAAATTATAAACATGTCTCGTCCACAGACCCGATGCGTACACGTATATATACATATTTCTCTAGGAAAACTTGCAGGGGGGTAGCATCCTCATTCCCCCTCGTCAGCCAGATCGCACGACGGGGTGGAATTACCACGGTGTGACGTTACAACCTACCCCAGCTCATCCAACCTAGTACCAACCTCATACCAACGAAAACACGATCCAGCCTCGACTGGTGTTTCCAACCGCCAACTTCTAATACTACAGTACGGAACGGTGTATATTTTCCATAGATCCCATATATCGGTCCCTGTGCATCGCCGTATACCCAATAGCATTAAAAGTATATATGAACTGTATAACATCGTTCGCTAGCCCAGATATGTCTCTCTTGAACGGCGTTCTCGTTCGCTTTAGTAAAATTCTATTAAGACCATTAACGATAGAGTCGCCCTTTTATGTGTACCTCCCCTCTCCTCCCGTCCTTCGATCCCACCCCGATAACGATGGATAATTGACAATGTCTGCTTTCGCAAATATTTATTTGTCCCAGGGCAATTCGGCGTTCTCTCGTTCTTCGTAAACATGAAACCAGCAACTGGCTCGTACACGAGGCTACGTCAAAAGTCGGATCGTACGTACGAGGAACGTTAACGCCAAACGAAGAATCCGGGTAGGTAAAAAATGGTATTTGGTCCCAAAAAAAAAGTCAATTAGATATAATAATTTTTAATTTAACGCACGGTGGGTCAACAAAAAAAGTGCAATTAGTCAAATCATTGTTCTTCGCTATTAACCATGAAAAATCAACGTCGCGTCTCGAATTCCGTATCAAAGTGAATTTTCACGTTTTTTTTTTCCGCAAGAGGGATTCCGTTTCCGTTTTGAATGTAGAGCTCCGCAAACGATCGTGCATTAAGGTTACAGGTAAAACATTGGTGGCCGCGAATGCAAAGGGCGGGTACCGTCTTACACGCACGTCGCGCATAATCGTGCAGTCTTCCCTTTGCACGGTGCATACTGGCGAGAGTGCGCGCGCAACCCCGTACCATTCAGACTGCTCGAAGGAGCCTCCGAGACCCGTGACGAATGGGCTGCGATTATTTGCAAACTGTAACTTCGCTAGATCGCGTAACAAAATATTGGCACGCTAACTGCACGTTAAAACCTTATAGCGTAGGTGCGCATTTATATACGACGAGGTAGATATGTATAAACACGGCTTGCGTTACCAGGCCGTATTGGGTTACCGCGTCTGAACACATACATATATATATATATGTATATATATTACATGCGTGCGGAATCATGCGCAAGTAAATAAACACACGCATACATGTAAGTCCCCGCTCACTTAGTAAATATATATATATATGTATATACCATATACTGCAATATACAAATAATACAATCGATGGACCAATGTCTGGCGAGTAAGAAAAAAATAGTTTACTCAAAAAAATATTTTTATATAATAAATTAATTCGAAAAAATTATTCACAGAATTATTTATTGTGTGTATAGTAAAGTATATTTAAAAAATATATATGGAAGTAGATAAAAGATATGAAAAAATTAATATGTAAATATTAATTGACCTGTCATCAATAGACTCGATCGAGCCTCGTCGTGTTATATTTGAAAACTGAGTTTTTCCGTTTCAAGTTCGTAACTACAGCTAGTCGCGTAACAACTGCATAAGATCAAACTAGACTCCGACTGGTGATTCCCATGAGTGTCAGGTTTGTATCGTTGCTGCTGAAGATGTTAGGGACTTCTGAATAAGGTGTAGAGATAATATAATCGTGACAGTCGACACCCTTGGACTGCGCGACACTGCGCTCGCGATAAGACGACACCTTTTGTAACATTCTGTAGGAGCAACAACACGTAGTATACATAAGGTAAAACAGAGTTACCCAGCGAGGAGTCTAGAGCGAGAACCAAGCGAGTGTAGCGTTAATAAGCCGTTTTGAACTTTCGCGGCGATAACTTCGAGGACGCAGCGAGAACGACCGTTAGAGGTTTGAAATATTTAAAACTCGCGCCCAAGCACGGAGATGATCTCACTGTTTGCTATAATAATATAAGCGTCCTATGCTCGGCTTACGAGGTCTCTACTATTATATCCGGTATCGCGTGACACCCTCGTGGTACATTTGAGCCGACTATATGCGTATAACATTCCAGAGGATCGTGTAGTGGCGCTCGAGAAATACGTAGGAGGACGAAGTTTCACGAAGTTTGCCGAAATCAGCCGAGAGGTCTTACGGTACGAAAAAAAAAGCTATAGGGGAAAATGGAGACGTGCATCGGATACTTTGACAGTTTGTTTTTTTTTAATTGGAATTTTAAAAAAATTTGAAAACAAAAAAATCACATTGCATCGGTCCACGATATAATTCCTTCAATGCGCATGCGCGATATCATGACGTTTAAGACCCATAACTGTCCGACGGGATCACCGTGCGCGACTGAATCTGTGGAGTGGATGGCGTTTCTTATGCGCATTTGTGCATGTGCACCGGAAATACGATACTACGTCTATCGACTACGTCATTGGATATCCCATTCATTATTCCCAAGACACTTTTACCGACCGGACCCCAGAGTCGAGACTCGCGGTGACGACGTTCTTGAAGGGACATGCAGTACATTTTTTTTATTTTTTTTTGTTCTAAGCGCGATCCAACAAAATATACAATTTTCATTGGTTACTTGGTCGTCTTCCAAAGCCAAACTGCACTTTCACTTTACCGCGCAGTTTTGCGGGTACATCGGATATTTTTGTTGTCCATACGAAAATTTTCAAATAGAAATGACTGGACGTGCGCTTATACGTACGGGCACACATGTCGCGCGTTTCAACGTATATTGGAAATATGACGTGTGGCGACTTGACTTGTGTATATAGGCATTCTACACTCGCAGGAGTCGAATAGCACTGCCTCTAATGAGAATCCGACACCAGACGCTCCGAGATTCGCTAGTGAAGCTGCCAGTCGATTCGGAGTAGGAAATGTTATTGGAAAGAAAAAAGAAAAAAAAAATTCATACATTAATCACACAAAAATTTCGAAGTAAAATTATCTGGGAATTTTTTCAAAAATCGTTTGATGCAACGATTTTTTTACGAGAGGCTGCCTCAGGCCTGAACGGATGAATTTACAATTTTTTTTGTTTTCTTTTTCTTCTTGAAAAAATCAGTTTTGCGGGAT